CTACCACTCCCATGACTAATAACCCGACGCCATCTAAACCAAAACCTACAGAAACTATTCTAATTAGTAAGAAAACTTTTTATCTATTTGTTTTGTCAATTTTAGCGATATTTTTCAAAATTAAGTTTTTTATTTCATTAATATTAGGAAAGCATGAAGAAATACGAAAAGATGGAACAAAGATAATTGATAGTGTAACTTTGAAAACAAAATCTAATGATGGTTCATTACTTCGAAAATTTCTAAACAAAAAATAAATGTAAAAAAAAATTTATTTGTATATTGCCAGTTCGGCGAAAAATATTAAATAAAGAAGAGGCCCGCTGGGTCCTAATCTTTTATTTTACACGATTTTTTACAATATAGTTTGTGATTATTAATTAGTGGAGACTATTGAGTTAACTTTATTAATCTGTTGTTATGGGATTCAAGTATCGCGTGTTAATATGCACTAATTATATAATCAGAATTTTTATAAGTTTTTTTCCCGCTACTTAAATCATAATAATAACCTCTATCAGATTCACCATATTCATTATATCCACCGCATCCACTATATCCATCGTTATCCGATTCATCTATCTCTTCTTCAGAATTATTTTCATCATCCGACTTAACTTCGTTCGATTCTACTTCTTCCTCCTTTAAATCCTCTTCTTCAAAGTATACATCATTGTAGTTATCTACCTTAACTGGGGTCATTTGAGGCGTGGGTGCTGAATTACCTGGATAATTAGAGATTCGCTCTAATCGAGCAATTTCTTCACGCAAGAGAATGTCATGGGGGTGGTTCGAGTCTATTGATTCATCGGAATCTGAGTTAGAGCCGGAGTCAACATTACCTGAATCGGAGTCGTCATCATTGTGGTCATTTGCCTTAGCTGGAGTTACTACATTTGATGACTTTACCACGGTTTCAAAGATTTTGTTCACATGACTAGTGATTGTCTTCGATTTGACCTGCTTTATGATGTATTCGATTTGAGGATTAGTTAGTCTTGAAATTCTGTCAGCACTACAAGTGACCCGCTGAACCATATGCCATCCTATACCTTTATTTTTTTTCAGAGTTACAGGATCATATTCATACCCAAATAACTTATTGATTTTTCTTGCTTTACAGGTCATTACACGTAAATATCCATCTGTAACATCTGTGAGGTATGGCACCATTTCATCATAGATCCGTTTTCTTGCAGTCTGATCCGTAAGTTTCTTATCTCCAGATCTAAGCTCCACAACCTTATCTTCAAACCTTTCGGAGAAGCAACCCCAAGATGAAATCTCTTCTCGCTTTGCTATAATCGATTTTTTTCTTGTAACAATCGATTGGCAGAATAAATTAGCAAGTTTCTTAATACTTAATGATCCGGGAATTAGGGTTCTGGGGGGAGAAAACTTAATAGATTCCAGAAGTCGTCTGTCAGATGTGAGTAACTCTTCCAACAAACCTTGTACGAATTCGGTTACTATATTCGGTTCTACCGCTGATTTATCTTGATCGTTAACGGTTTTTATATCATGTGGTACTTTCGAATCTACAACGGAATTCGCAATACATTTCTGAGCATAGTCTTGTGAAGTATTTGCAACGACCTTTATTTCGCGAGATGACTCTGAGGAGGTGCAACTATTAATTTTATCAATGTTTTGACTTTCCGACTCAACCAAGTTGTTAACAATGGAAATGTATCTGCTGTACATGCGGGGTCAGATGCGACATCTTGTGTATCTGTCTCACGCTGAATTTTCTTCTCCTTATTGCGTCGCCTTATTTCATCACAAACGCTTTTCTTATGCATCTCATCCATCTCTTTCTCCTGTGATGGTTTTTCATGATGGTCTGCACCGGAATTTAAATTAGAAGGGTTGTTATTAGTAATATCATTTTGCGAATGCTTATGTTCCAATGTAGGGATTCTATCAGTAGTATCTGTCTTATTTTTTTCTAGAACCTCAATCCTGGCGTCACGTCTGTTATTCTCTTCCATAATCTGCTTTATAAGTTCTGCATTTCTAGCCTCGACATCGGCAACCTTCTTCCTAAGTTCGTGAATCTCGACAACCCTGACTTCAAATTCAGCAAGCTTCTTTCTAAGTTCGGGAATTTCAGAATTCTTGGCCTCAAGTTCAGCTTTCTCAACCTCAAGCTCGGTAATGCGCTGTCTCAATGAATCTATTTCGGACTGCATGCCTGTATAATATTATAATGTTGTTGTTTATACTTGATATATTAATATTCAAAATCGGTAAAAATATGTAAGTTATGCCGAAACCTGTTAACTTGTTAACGGGTTTTTTTGCCAAGAAAAATTTTTATTAATACATGCGAAAAATTAATACAAATGTTCGGGACCTAGCTCATGATACATGATGTCTATGCTATTGTCTGCGGACTAATGTCTGGGTAAAAGATTTCACGCTCTATCACTTTACCAAAAAAAATTCTCGATCGTTTACGAGCTTTACATCGGTATCAATACAATAAATAAATTCACGAAATATACACACAAAGTAAACTAATTATTTATGTGAAATTGAGCCACCAGGACCAGCTTTATTAATACGATAAGAAAAGTAAAAAAAAAATCTAAAATATAACGGATGAAAAGTCAGGATGCGATATTATCGTAAATATCTATAAAATAATAATACATGGTATAGAATTATAAACGTTAGAGAGAATGAATAATACATTAAATTATAATTTAAAATAAATAATCTATTTCTATTTTCTAATATGCGAATTTGTTCATTTAATCGACCAGTTATCAACCTCTTAATATCTTGACACATTCTAGTATACAAAGTAACAATAATATCGCCTCCTGACTCATCAGCCGCATCATATGCCCCTTTTGCAATTTTTTGTTCCAAGACCCCAACAAGAATTCCAAAATCAAAATTTCCTCTTCGAACCACTGTTAAAAACGCATCAGCTTCTTCTCGACCTAAAACGATCAAAAATTAATAACATTAAATAATAAAAAGATCATAATAAGTAATCATACCTATACACATACCTATACACTTATAATACCATGCTTTACATTGAACCACGAATCTATAGCCATCCATATCCACAATAATATCTCGACCTCCATCACCACTCGCCCTAAAAAATAATTTAATGAGTATATATTTCATCGTCATACGTGGTTGGTGCCAACATGTATCTTATTCATCATTAAACCCCCGGGCAACGCATCGGACGGGGTCATTGACAACTGAGAAGAACGTTCACTGCCGAAACAGTGGCCCGACGTGCTTTCGATTCTCAGATAATTTACGTCAATGTGACAGCGTAACTTCGGATACATAATGACTCGACATAACTCAGTAAGAAAACTCACCCCGTATGTGTAACTATCGCACCTAGTTCTTCAAAATACCTCGCCAACAACTCGCAACAAAACAGCTCAAATCTTCTTCCCAATGCATATGACGACTCGCCTTCAATACGTACGAATTCTTCGATTTCAAAATACATTTTATTTGAACAAATAACAATTTGCATCAGTGAACATTGAAAAAAGGCTTTTATACTTTTTATTTTATACATCTTTTACTCCTTTTTTGCTGAGAATATTTTGTTAAAAAAACGAGTTTCATTCATAGAAAAGACAATTACGTATAAAAAAACATGCTAAAATCCTATTTTTAGGAAATTATATATCTTTTCGGTTATGTTCAAAACCCCTTTATTTATACCATTCATGCATCATAGGAAGAAATTCATATGATTGGCTAATTTTTATGGATCTACATGTGATCACCCGTGATAATTAACCAATCAA